GCCTCCAGTAAGGGATAGGTACAACAAATGGTTCAGGCAGAAGATGGAGTCTTACATGGTCTTATTAATAAATGAGGTTGATCCATACGTTCTTATCCATCCATTTACACATCTGTTCAATAAATGTCTACTAGGCAATACTATGTGAAATAGTTTTTGCCCTTAAGTAGACAAATCAATTAAGAATTGAAATAAATGTTACATGGAAACAGTACCAAAGAGGAGAGTATGAGGGCAAACTGTTTTAGACAGACTGCTCAGAAAGGGTCCTTCTGAAGTAAAATTCAAACTAAAACATGAAAATACTCACAGCTAGCTGCCATGGGAAGCTTAGGGTGAAAGGAGTCCAGACAAAAGGAACACGAACAAAACCACTAGATTAGGAAGGGACTTGATGTTCTACAAAACAAAAGATGGCTGATGAAGCAAAAATGGAAGCACAATAAGGAAGCAACAGAAAAAGGACAGAAGCAGAAGCGGAAGGCATGACCGTTGGCAGGGCCTTGAGGGACGCACCTCGGAGTTCCGAGGGCCTCGGCTCCGTGCGGACGAATGACGGCTCAGACGCAGGTTTTAAGAAAATAACTCTTACATTCTGAAGATACGCAAAATATAGTGTACACTGTGGGGCAGGAAATAAGTTGTAGGATAATGTATATAATACGGCCTTACCTACATTAGGACAGAAAAACACATTTGAATGTTCATGAAAGCTTTCGTATGGACACGTATAAAAAAACTCAGCTTGAGTTATGCTCAAAAACAGGACTGAGAGTTGCAGAAAAGGGGGAATTTTTATTCCTCACTATATACCCTTAGGCATGCATTACACTTTATTACCAGGAAGATCAAAATTTCATACCTCATACTATTTTCATAATTTAAAAATTAAATCAGCCACACTTGAAGGTGTTATTCAAATGATCTAATTAATGATTTCCAAGATACTAAATGTTATCAAAACCAATATCCCCAAAAATCTGCTTAAATTTTTCGTGACTCCCCAATACCTTAGAATCAAATTTAAACTCTTCAACTTGGTTACAACACTTGGTCCTGCGCACCTGAGCCCCCAGGCTCATCCCCAGAACATCTCACCATAACATTTAGTCCCACCCTGGAACCCGGCATTCCCCCAGCCTGTGCACATCCTACTCAGCTCATCCAGAAACACCTTTCTCTTCCGCGTCCCTTCACCAAACCAACTCTCATTACCATCTGCACGTACTAGGCCCTGAAGACACAGGAGGGAACAAGAAAGGCACCATCTTCAAGATGCCTGCTACCCAGAAGGGAAGAGGGCATGTGACAACAGGGGATCTGTAATTCAAAAATAGAGTTCCAGGAAACTTCTCAGACATCGTCACTTGGAAAAGAGACCTCACAAATGAAAGCACACAGGACACAGTCATCGTGCTGGGGTCTGAAGAATGAGCCCTCAGAGCAGTAAAGCAGGGCCTCACAAGCCACAGTAAAGAGACTGAACTTCAGCCTAAGAGCAAAGAAATGAGGGGTCTCATTCTGGTTGTGTTTTGAAGATTTGAGCTTATTATTTACTTATTAGCGTATGGTCTATCCTCTGCTTCTCCCTACCCCATTAAAATGTAAGATTATGTAAGGACAGAAATCTGTCTCATTAATTCTGTAATACATTTCAAACCCTTAAAACAGTGCCTGACACACAGTTTTTCAATAAACAGTTGTTGAATGAACGAATGAATGAACAAATTAATAGCTTAGCGAGAGGTGAGAGGGACGTAAGGAGTCAGTTGAAAGGTAGTATTCTAGGTTAGAGAAAAATCACCGTTTTCCCTTAAACTCAAGGGGCGTGCTCAGGTTTCACCTACATGTTACTTTCTCTGGGACGCCTTCACAGTCCTCCTGTACCAGGTTAGGCGCCATCACTATCTGATCATATTACACTCTGTCCTTCAATTATTACAGACCCCGTCACACTTAATCTCCATGACAGCAACAACTAGCTCTGCTTGTGCTCCACTCAATTCCCAGAGCTTAGCAAAATCAACATACTCAACACATTATTTGTTGAATGAATAAACTTATCCATCAGCTTCCAAAGAAATAAGGTTCTTAAAACAAGACAATCTACTAAATAATCTACTCCAATGCCAAA